TCCATCCATTTTAGCATACCACAGAGTAGTTCCTCTAACCCGAATTCTTCAAAATCTATTTATTTATCCCCTTGTCCCTTTCTGAATCTCTTGAAATCACTGACCTTTTTACCGACTGAATGTTTGGTCTTTGCAAAATGTTACATATCAAGAGTTTTTCAGCTTGGCTTCTGTCATGAATATGTGTTTGAGTTTTCTCAATTGAAGTGGAAACTTCTGGTTTCTTTGGAGACTCAGTTGTAGCATGTGATGTTTTTCTGGAAACTGTCTTATAAGAGGATGATTTTGCTGATGCACACAATTAGTGCTTTTCTAGAAGCAGCCTAGAAAAGGGGCATGTGATGTTTTGCTAGAGTGGGTATTTGAAAGAACATGTGATGTTTGCAAAGAATGCAAATATAATCCAACAGAGAGTGGACAGTGCTGTCTGGTATTGGTTCATCTTGCCACTCTTTGCTGATTGTTGTTTGTCATGACTTGGTAGAGAGAAACACATCAAAGAACTTCTGGTAGTATTCCTGCATCTTCGTGTCGCTTGTGGGGACTCAGGCAGATTGGCAAAGCAACTGCCATTGCTGGTTTGTGAATGGTATATGCAAACGGATTGAGCTTCCACTGTTGATTTGTGTGAACTGAATTACTGATATCATGTCAACACAGATTGGATTCGCTCCAAAGAACTATTTTTAAACAGGTCCACATCCTCCTTTGCCCTATTACTTTTTTCTTTCCAATACCTCTGGTGGGTGGTAGGCAAGAAGGGAGGTTAAAGCATTCACATATGCTTATTAAAAGTTTTGAAAAATACAAGTCTACACGCAACACCTTTTCATGAATTGATAGCTCGTTTCATTTTGGTATTGACTAATATTCCATTTTGAAATTGCATTCAACTTTCTCAGTTTCCCATTCTGAAGGATCTTGGTCACTACCATGTTTTTATAAGTGGTATAAAAAGTTTCAACAAATACGCCTGTCCCAGCTTTTGTGTGAACATCAGTTTCCAGCCAATTTAAATATATACTGAGAAAACTGATTACTTGACAACCTATAAGCGTGCATTTGATTTTGCTGCCAAGCTATCTTCTAAAATAATGACATCCTTTTCATTCTCATTATCCATGTGTGAAGGTTCTTGGTCCTCCGTGTCATCTGCAGCAGTTGGTGGTTCAGTGTCCTGGAGTTTGGCCATCCTGCCTATGGTTTGGTTGTGACATTTCATTACTTGAATTTGCTGATGTGAGCTTCTTCTCATGTATGTATTTTCCATCTATATTAGTAAGGGTTTTCTGTAGTATGACTTGCAGGCTGTGGTCCAGCTCATCCAAACATGGCAGCCTACAAATGGAAGGTCCAAGAAACCAGTACTTATTCAGATGGTTTCAAGTATACACCTAAATTCCGAAGAGGTAGGTTCTGATGCCGGTGAATGAATGGACTAGCTAGCAAGACAAGAGCAAATACACAAAGAGGGAAGAGCTTCCTTCTTCATTGTCCATATAAAGCAGTAGTTTTCAACCTTCCTAAAGCTGTAATCCTTTATACAGTTCCCCTTGTGGTATCTCCAACCATAAAGTTATTTTCATGGCTACTTCCAAATTGTAACTTTGTTACTGTTATGAACCATAGTGTAAATATATGATATGTAGGATATCTGATATGCAACCCCTGTGAAGGAACTATTTGACCCTCAAAGGAGTCATGACCCACTGGTTGAGTGCCTGTATTATAAAGACTTCCAGCAGATGTGGCATAGATTAGAGGTGGGTCTTCTCACCCCAAAAATCTGGATTAGAAATGGATCTTCCCAGTTCAAACTAAACAAAAATCCCCTTACATTTGGCCTCATTTGGGGGTATCCAGATGTAGCCAAGTTGGCAACCAAGAATACACATCACACCATCTCTAAGACTTGTGTTAAAATCTTTGGCACATTTTTCTTACATGTTATTGTTTTCTTAAAGTTGAGTCTTGAATGTCTTTATGTGTTTTGAAAAGCTGTATTTTATTAAACACATCTGTTGCCAGCATTTTCCTCTGGTCTGTGACTTTTTTAAAAAAAAAAATTGTAGAATCTTTAACAGAGCAGAATATTTTGGGTTAAGTTTTTTTTATTATTTTCTCTTTGTATATGTATACAAAGTGTATATTCAGCCCATCATGTTCACAAAGAATGTTGAAATTTTGCTTAAGATTTTATAATTTCTATTGATTGTTTGAAAGATGAACATTCCAACCACAGAATTCTTCCAACAGACTACTGTGAATTCCTCAATTTATTTATATTCTTACATTTTCAATAAAGTTTTATAGTTCTGCTTTGCAATTTTCTATTAGATTTGTTCTTGGTGCTTATATGTTTGGAAGATGTTTTAAATGCTATTTAAATTTTGATTTTTTCATATAAACAGAAATGACTTTGCATCTGCCAGTACTCAAGACTTCACTTGTCACTTCTGATTGCAAAGTTTTCACAATTTTTAAGTATATACTTTTGTCATTTAAAATATAGTGCTATTTCTTGTGCTGTGGCTTTCATTTCTGTCTTTTCCCTCTAGTTGGGACTGGTAGTAAAATCTCAGTAGTAACCATGGTGGGCATCCTTGTCTCATTGTTGATCTCCAGCAAACATTTCAATAACTTTCTTTTAACCATATTTACTATGCATATATTTGATTGGGTGGTTTATGAGACTGGGTGCCACTGTGTATAGCCTGGGCTGTTCTGGAACAACTTATGGAAAATGATCTTAGACTCACAGAGATCACCTGCCCCTGACTCCTGAATTCTGAGATTAAAGATGTGCCACCAAATCTGGCTACTGTATACTTTTAAATATTCAAAAACTCCCTTCTATATACATTTACACACTTTGCATGCTAATATACGCTGGATTTTTTGAGTAATTTTTCTCTACCCATTGAGATTAACTGTATTATTTTTCTTTTTTACCTGTTACTATGGTGAATTACAATGATCAAATTTCAAATACTGAACTGCTTTGCATCAGACACTAACTGATTATGTCATCATTTGCTTTTGCCTTACACGTCTCTGAATCTGACTGCCTTTCTCTAAAGAAAGAGCATGTCTATGTACATCTACAGAAGAGTTTTGTCATTTCTTTCTTACATTGTCCTTTTGAAATTTAGATATCATAATCTACACAAAGTTACCGGCACCAAGATGATTTTGATATGTTCACTCATTTGCAAGTTTGTATGTTTGTTTTAATTCTCATGTGAACATTTATAATAATTCAACATGTAAAATACTTTTATAGTACCTTTATATAATAGGTATGATTGATAAGATTTTATATTTTCCTCAGTTTTGAGTTTTAAATGACATTTGATGTAAATTGTCAAATGCAACAACGTTGTTCCTCACAAATCTTTGACAGTTTGGTTTATTAAAGATAAGCAAAACCAAAAATAAATTCTTTGTGTGTGACAAACATGACAAACTAGTCAAGGAGCGGCATGGTCCATTAGTTCACACGGTTTCATCACGTGAGTATATTCAAATTGTTTTACTTGATATTCTACACACGTTCAACAGACACACAAATCTTATGTCATTGATCTCTTGACTCTCAATCATTGGAGCGAGTGAGCGGGAAATAGAGGAATGGGAAGCAAGAAAGAACAAGAGTGAGAGCAAAGAAGGAAGAGATGGAATAAAGGGAGTCAAAGAAGCCATTGCACATAAAAAATCACTGGAAAGAAGTGATTTCCACGTGAATTTTCTCTCCTTGCACTGACACTTATCAGCAAAGTAGAAGAAAGAACAACTTAATTGCACATTAAGCACATAATAACCAGAAAGTAGGTGTAATATATAGAGGCGTAACTTATATACCTGATAAAAAATGTTTGTACATGTTCATTATATAGATGCGTATGTTTATGTGACTTCTACACCATGAAGATGTGGTAATTCCAACGCTTTATATTGAGAAGAACCAAGGGAGAATTGAGAGATAGAAACTCAATTCCATGGTAAATATAAAAATCATGTGAGATTTTATTTGTTAAAAGTACTAAAGCTAGAAATAAATTCTCATTGAAACAAAATTTATAAATATAACTCTGAGATACTTGTACACCTTTGTTGATTGAAAGACTTCAGGTAAATTGAGGTTTCATAGAGACAATTGGCTGGCATAATAAAGAGAAAAATATCAAGGGTCATGAAGAATAGACTGAGAATCTCAAAAAATAAAGTTTCTAGAAAGAAAGGTGGGAGAAGGTCTGGAAAACACGCACACACACACAAACACACACATGCTACACCATAATTGGACTTCTTTGTGTGGGGAAGAAAGAAAAGGATACATGTGACACCCTCAATAATGCTGAATTTTCCTTTTCAGAGGAATGGGACATAATTCTGATTTTGAGATTATTAAAAGAGATTATATCAAAGCAGTGATCTGACAGTTTTATTTAATAAATGGGATGAGAAACCACACATCTCTTTAATCTTTGTCAGATAGAAGTTCAAAACTGTAACAACAGTACTTCTAGAACATGCACAACCAAGTAATAGAACTACCAGCATGCACGATGCTCACAGACGAAAAGTGTCACAACCTTTGTGTAAATGGATTCACACTTTTATGGATAGGCTACTCAGGGCACATAAACTGGAAATGAGCATAACAGAATGCTACTTTCTATCCACACAGAAAAATCCAGGCAAGGTAAGTAATTTAAACATTCTACTTTCGAAAAGATGAAATTGCATGGAAAGAGATGTTGCAATTACATACACAAATGTTTTTGAGATAATTTTATATTCAAACTTTCATATTATTCGGTTTATATATGCTTGTGAAAGTGTTAATCGCTAAGAGATATTCATATATGGAGAAAAGTATGAAATATACTTAGTACAACTAAAAGCCTAATGTGTCCATACCAAAAAAAAAAAAAAAAAAGAAAGAAAGAAAGAAAGAAACTATCCGCACCGTTAAAGACATAAGCAGGTAAGCAGGTTAAACCAGCGGAAAACTTCATAAGAAACAAGATCATTTCTTAAAAGAAAACATTTGTACATCACTTGAGGAAATACATACTTAGCTGAATACAAAACTATCCCTGCAGTGAGGATTTTCCGTAGTTTCTCTCCCAGTATCCTGAACCATTAGGTTGGGGACCATGGGTTTGAGGAATTTGAACTCACCAATCCCAGAGTCTCCTGTTAGACACACCTCATACTGGTAGCTCTGGGACAGAGTCCCAGTTCCGCTAACATCCACCAGGTGGCCAGGAAAGTGGCCCTCAGGTACAGAGCAGCCACCCAGAGAAGCTGCCCTCGCCCTCTTGCACAGCCTGAATCCCACGAACAGTAGCACAGACAACAAAAAGAGAGAAGACACAGAGGCCAAGGCAATGACCAGGTAGAGCGTGAGCAAGTCACCATCACCCTGCGCAGGGTCCTGCGCCACCTCTGGCAGAGGCAAGTAAGGCTGAGAGAAGCCATCCACCACTAGCACGTGCAGTGTGACGCTGGCGGAGCGCGGGGGATCGCCATTGTCCTTGACAAGCAGCAGCAGCCTGTGCTTGGGCACATCGCGCTCGCTCAGCAGCCTGGTGGTGCGCACCTCGCCATTGTGCGCCCACACGCTGAACAGTCCTGGTTCGGTGGCCTTGAGCAACTGGAACGACAGCCAGGCATTCTGGCCAGAGTCACGGTCCACTGCCACCACCTTGGTAACCAGGTAGCCAGGCTCTGCCGCTCTGGGCAGTAGTTCGGTGCAGGGTGCTGAGGCGTTCTGCAGTGGATAGAGCACAAAGGGTGAATTGTCATTGTCATCCATTACCAGCACACGCACCAGCGCTTGGCTGCTGAGCGCAGGCGAGCCTAGATCTGTGGCGGCCACGTGGAACTCGAAGGACTGCAGGGTCTCATAGTCCAGAGCCCTGAGCAGGAACAGCTGCCCGTTGTCTGCGTTGATGGAGATGAGCGAGGCGAGGGCCAGCTGTGGGTCGTGGGGCGGGAGCAGCGAGTAGGTGATGTGGGCATTGGAGCCTGAGTCTGAGTCTGTGGCGCTGATGGTGCCTATGTGCAGGGCAGGGCTGTTGTTCTCGCGGACAAACATGGTGTAGGATGTTTGGGTGAAGGTGGGGGCGTTGTCGTTGATGTCAGACACCTGGACTGCTATGGTGTGCTGGGTTGTGAGCCTGGGTGTGCCCAGGTCGGTGACAGTGATGGTGATGTTGTACTCAGCTCTGCTCTCTCTGTCCAGAGGGCTCTCTGTCACCAGAGTGTAGAAATTCTTGTAAGACGGTTTTAAAATGAATGGCACATGATCTGAAATAGAACAAATCATCTTCCCGTTCTCTCCAGAATCTCTATCCCGTATTCGAACGATAGCAACCACCGTTTCTGGAGCATTTTCTGGGACTGAGCTGGTCAGTGAAGATATGGTCAGCTCTGGGGAATTGTCGTTCACATCCAACACCTCTATCACCACAGAGCCTTTTCCAGAAAGGCCTCCTCCATCTGTGGCCTCAATTTCTACACGATAAGATTCAGTTTTTTCAAAATCCAATTCCTTTTTCAGTCGTATTTCTCCTGTGACTTCGTTTATTGAGAAAGTTTTTTGGATTTCATCTGATGCTTGGAACAAGCCATAGGAAACTCTCCCAAAGTTGCCAGCATCTGCATCCCGTGCTAAGACAGTCAGGATTGGGGACTCTGGGGGACTGCTCTCTAGGACTTGCACCTCATAGGGGCTGTTCACAAATTCAGGAGCGTTGTCATTGATGTCCACGAGCAGGATTCGAACCAGGGCTGTTCCTGACCTCGGTGGAGACCCACCATCCAG